CCTTACTGAAGACCATCTCGGTAAAGCCATTCGACGTCTGGTCATGGGGAATCGTCTGTGGTCTTCTGGTTTGATCGACCTCGAAAAAGAAGTCAGCTCAACACTTATAAAACAAGAGATTGTTCGAAACCCAACCGATGAGAGACAATGATACCGGGACGACGACAAATACATTTAGAGTGAGAAGAGGAAGATGAGTGTTTGCTTACATGTGCATCGCCGACTAGCATTCCTTCGAGGAGGAAGAGTAGTTGCGCAACCACAAACGCCTCAAGCGAGGGTATCTGCATGTTCAACTGCTGCTCAGCGAATCTGTAGCTCTGCTGAAAGGTCGTCTTGAGCAGAATGTACAATTTGTCTCGCTCGAATGCATTACGTTTTAATAGCCAAGCCTTTAAGTGTAAAGAAGAGATTTTTCGTCATACACGGCATGATCCCAAAAAGGTGATCATGAACCAAAAATGACAAACAACTGACCTGACTGATTGGCGACCAATTGAGCACGGAGCTGGACATAAAGACCATACCGTTACGAGACACTGTGGCTGGTGAGGCATTGTCAATGTTGTGCACCTCAAATATGATCTTGCAGTTGGGCGCCATTTGGATCCGATCACCGTTGGCCAGTGTCAGCGTCTTGTTGTCGTCTAGGACACTATTCAGATTCTCAATCCAAATCGCGTCCACTGGTCCGTCCAGCACCAACCAAATGTGCTCACCCTTTTTCGTCTTAAGCGTCCGTCGCCAGAGTGTTGAAAAGATACCGTCCGTCCAGTCATTGGTGGCCACGTCAAGGCGACCAAACATTTCAGGTGCCGTTATTGACTTGGGATTCATGCGCATCTCTCGATGCGGTCGACCGCACTCTCCCATCGCTCGCATCAGCACGGCAATACAGCATGTCTTTCCGGCTCCCGATGGACCGAGAGTCATCATGCCATGTCGAACACATTGCGTCTCGTAGAGCTGAAGGCAAGCATGTGTTGTCGAGCCGGAAAAAGGGTACACGGTTTGTGGGGTTAATCAGAAAGTTCAACATGTGAGTCGTATCAAATGAAGGATATTCAGGGGATAGGCACATGTTAAACCTAGCCATGTGTGACCTCGAGGTCAGTGTGCAATGGCGTAATTCATGCCAGAGCATTTGATCAGTTGGAACATCAAAATAAGCACTAAAGATATACTAACAGATTAGCATGAATAGCGGATGATGCAGAAAGTTCGTTGACGCCCTTCATATTGGCTTTTCCAAACAAAATGAAAAATATAAAAACA